AACTATGGTTCAAGTCCCGGACTTGGCTGCTCTCTCTCTCTCTCTCTCTCTCTCTCACTCTGTCCCTCTCTGGTCAAATTTAAATAAATAAATAATAAAATAATTCCTTAAAGAAAAGAAACTTACTCTTGGGGGCCCAAATAAGAAATGTACTGTTGGGGAACCAGCAGTTAGCGTAATGACTATGTTGCTGGACTCCCACGTAGTCGACCGCGGTTCAGGTCCCAGACCCGGTGGCTTAGAACTCACACCGGGCACGTGTGCGTGCGTGCCCAAGATCCTGAGAGGAGAATGGAGGAGAAGGGATTGCGGTGTGACCATCCCCCCTGGGGGGTGATTTCTCGCTTTCGTCTCTATGTCTCTCTCTGTCTGTCTGGCGAACACACACACCCTATAGCGAAAACATCTCAAAAAAAAAAAAGAGCTGTTTTGGGTAGTTTCATCCTCACCTCTTTTATGAAGACTGAGTCTGTATCTTGCAGTTCGTAGTTTTGCCGGTTTGCACATGTGTGGGCAGGCTGAAACAGCCCTTATATGGACTTAGAAGGGATTTCTGTGCATCAAACCAGACAACTTTGTGACAATAATGGTAAACTGTCCCCAGTTAACTCTGGACTGGATTCTCCAGAACTGAATTAATTAATGTGAGAACGAAAAACTCTAGTATCTAGTGTGTCTGGATATGTCAGAGGACAAGATGCTTTTCTTCCAACAAACAGTCAACTAACGAGTTGACATGCTCCAGCGTCCACATACCCCTCCACTGTCCCCCTGTGCTCCAGTGTCTGTCTACACTCCCACATTCACATGCACCCAGCGTCCACATGTACATCATTCACAGACACCCAGGGTCCACATGCATCCCAGGATTTACAGACACCCCAGCATCCACACGTACATCATCATTCACATGTACCCAGCATCCACACACACTCTGTCATTCACAGACACCCCAGGGTCCACATGCACCCCATCATTATCATTTACAGACACCCCAGTATCCACATGCACGCTAGTGTCCACATTCATCCCCAGGTCTATCTCCATGACCCAACACTTCTCCAAAGATGGCATAGGAATGGAAAGAGAACAACAAAGCCCCAAACTGACACTGTTCATAAAAACAAAGGATTCAGGACCAGCAGATGATTTAATAGTTCTGTCACTGGACTCCCATATGACTGACAGCGGTTGGAGTTCAGAGCTGGCAGCCGTAAGCTCACACCAGGTGCGCGTGCGCACGTGTGTGTGTATGTGTGTATGTGCACCCAAAATCCCAAGAGAAGAATGGAGGAGAAGGGATTGTGGCATGGCCATTCCCTCAGGAAGTAATTTCTCACTCTATGTCTCTCTGTCTGTCTCTGTTTCTTCAACAAGCACACGTACCCTGTAGTATAAATCTCTCAAGAAATAAAAATAACAAAGGATCCATCAGTAGCAAGACTCTTTAATCATTGTTATTTACAATTTATCATCTGACAGACTTACAGAGAATAAATAAAGAAAAGAACATATACAATTGGTATCACATTTCTTTTTCTAATACAGAGATTTTTATGTATTCTATTTGGAACAACTATGATAGTTTTAAGCAGAAATTAAATCCCTTTGCTGTGTACCCCCTGACAAGTCATAACATCCTCCAAAGCCTGCAGACTGAGGCCCAGACATTTCCTCATCATAGGAAAAGTGTACCACATTGCTGCCAGAACCCAGTCCTCAGAAAACGTTACTGGAGAATAGAGTAGAAAAATAAGATATCGTGTATAGTAAAGGACATAAAATGGATAGACTAGATTACAAACTCTTGGCGTGCTTGCAGGAGTCCTGCCTATTTTCGATCGTTTTTAAGCCTCTTTTCAAGAAAACAGTTTTTCATTGAAAGTGAGGGCCTTATCTCAATGTGCTCACCCTTGAGTATTTGCAAATTCTTCTTTGGCATGCAGTTTAAAATTGCAAATGAGCAAGAGCTAGCCTGGAGCTCAGATTTTTTTTTCCTGTAGAGACCCATGACATTGCAGACAATGTGTTTGCAGGGGAAACCAGATGGCTTGTTTCAAATGCGTTGGTTGAAGCCACAATCTGGTCTCTGCTTTTAACTCAGTGCCCTGTGGAGAACTACCCTGCGCTATTGTTCAATACCTCAAAGTACGAAGCACAGAATGATTTCACCATCAGAAAGGAGACAAATGGAGGACAGACTGCCATATACCAACCTGAGCCCTTCATTCTTTTCCCTCATTTGAAAATAGATCTACGTTACAATTCTAAATGCACCCTGGTTATGCCAGATAACAAGTTTTTCTTTCCATCTTTTAGTCATTCAGGAAACAATGTTTAGCAAATATTTATTGAGTGCTCACCATGGGTTAGGAACTTTTTTATAATCTTGTGACTATGAAATAGAGCTGTTTAAAAAAGCTATCATAAAATTCAAAACTACAATCCACAACACTGGACTTCTCCCCAGGTAGTTTTTGCATTTGTATTTATTTTGGTTCAATATGATTGTTATTCCTTTTAAGAACAGACAGATAAGCAAATGAAACTTCTCTACCACTCTGAAGATAGTATTTTATCGCTCATTAGTGGTCCATGCTATTGGACTATACGTCTCTTGTACCATTAACCAAGCACCACCCAATTCTTGACCCAGTTCTTTGCTCTAAAGTCCTCTCCTTGTCCTCACTACAAATTCCACTCAGTGCAGGAACTGCACGAGCCATCTGGAATTTCCTTCTATAACCTGGTTCTCTAGCCAACAACCTATGGATGGGTCTTACCATTTTTCATGTTGCCTGATCTTTCTAAATTATTCTTGGATTGTTTCAGATGCCAAACAGATAAACGAATCAGAGCATTTCAAATCAGTGTAGGAGGCAGGATATTGCTCACAGATAAACCAACAATGGATAAATTTGTTACATGCTATCAAATTTGGTAGGTTTTTATCCTGTGTCTTTCTTGCTGGATCTAAATAAAGCCAGATTACAAATGAGCAAGGATTTAAAATATCCTGCAACTAAATAAGTACATGTGAAGAAAAAAAAAAAAAAGAACTGGTGAAATCCAAATAAGTCTGTAGTTAGTAAACAGCATTATACCAGTGAGAAATTCTCTGGGTTTTGAAAATGGACTACAGTTGTAAATGGATTATGTAAAATAAAATCAGTGGGAAAAAACTGGATCTAGGGTGAGACCGCTCTATTTTTGCAATTTCTTCTGACCTCTAAATTATTTCAAAGCAACAAGTTGTTCAAAAAGGATACAGCAACTAAACAATGAGCTACCACTCCTCCACCAAGAAGCAGCTTACTCTGACAGAACTCAAAATGCCCGAAATCAAACCATCATTCACCACCCTGGTCTCTTTCTCTCTCATTTGAGCAGTCCAAGGCATTTACCAACTGGAAAACACACTCATCTGTTTCATAGAGATGTTAAAATTTAATTTAGAAGGATTTTTTCCACCAAAGTCAATATCTGCTGCTGCTTCTCAGAGATTCAGGAACACTAGGGACCTACCAAATGGCACTGCTCGGGGAGAGGGCTAACTGAAAATGAAAAAATAAATAAATAAAATAAAATAAAAAAGAAGGAGAAAGAAAAAGAAAAGAGACAAATTCTAGGTCTATGAATTCAATTTAGGATCAAAGACTTAATAGCCAATACATCACGATCTTTCTTTTTCTATTTTCTTTCTCCCTTCCTTCCTTCCTTCCTTCCTTCCTTCCTTCCTTCCTTCCTTTCTTTCTTTCTTTCTTTCTCTCTCTCTCTCTTTCTTCTTTCTTTCTTTCTTTCTTTCTTTTTTTCTTCTTTCTCTCTTCCTTATTCTTCCCTTTTCTTTCTTTCTTTTTCTTTTTCTTCTTTCTTTCATAGTTTTGGCCACCACCTCAGACACCCCTCTTCTTCTCTTCTTCTTTACTCAAACACCTGGCCTAGCCCCACATCCTGACTGTTGTGTGGGAAGCCTGGATGGGCCTGGACAAGCCAAGTTCCCCACACGACGTTGTGCAGCTGTCAGCCCAGATTGAGTCATGTAACTTATGCCCATTGCTTTAGTATTTGCCTGTGCCATTCTGCGCGCAGCAATGGTGGATATCATAAACAGAGGCAAGAGAAGGGAACACGAGGCTGCATGAACTACCACAGATTCCCATGTCTAGATCTTCGTTTCCAAAGCAGCACATGGAACACCAGGTCTTGTTCAGGTAATGCACTGCTTTCCTCCCACCCGTTCTTGAAGTGGTTTAGAATACTCAGGCGCTCAATGCCTCCCTTACCTGCTAGCTTTGAAATGAGAGGGTTATTCCCTGATCGTTGTTTATGTGTTTTTTATTCCCATGAAGAACATTCTCTTTCAAATTCAGAAAGAAAAAAACCCCACAACTTTCCATTTCGCACACTGCACCTGAGTTTTTATTTTTAATAAACATTTTTATGATCTTTATCATCCAGAATGTCTTCTTTCTCTACCCATATTTAGCTTTTATTTGAAGATCCTTTTTCTGTCTTCTGTCTTTTCCTTATCTATCTTCAAGATACATTTGCTTTCAAGCTTCAGAATGGACTTCTAACAGCTGCTGTTCTGCCTCTCTTAACCCACCCTTCCCCACACCTTTCACATGCATTCTTCACTGCCTTCTCTGGAGGCAGCCTCCTTTTTGGCCCCCACCCTCCTCCTCGTTCAGTCACCTACACATTCATAGATCCATGTCCACACCACTTTCTCACCACCCTCTCTGTTACACAGTCTTATGTCTCGCAAGCGATTTTCTGGCAAGTTCTGAGCCGCGTTCTCCCCTCAGACACCTCTTTGTGACCTCATCATGTGTCCAGTTCTACGCCACTTTCTCCCCACCCTCTCTGTTACACAGTCTTACGTCTCGCAAGTTCTAAACCCACGTTTCCTCCACAGACACCTCTTCCTGATCTCAAGTGTGTCTGGACAGCACGTCAAGTTTTGGACCTACCCATCAACCTGGTAACAACCAAAATTACAAATTCAGACCTGACAACCTCCAAACATAATCTGGACAGAAAATGGTTCACACATCATGAAACAAACTTTACTGCAAAGGTAATGAGGCCCCCTAGTTTCTCATCATTTTTTCTGTCTCTTTTTCCAAATAACTTCCAGGCTCAGTGGTCTAATCCTCTCATTTAGATTTGAGTTACTTTGAAATTCTACATAAGCCTTCACTATGTATTCCACTGGGCCACTGTTCCACTCTACGTATGACTAGGCTAAACATTAAGCCTGTGTCTGATACGGAGCTCTCAGTGCCAAGAAGTGGAGCCTTTCTCATCCCAGAGAAGGGTACCCAAACACGACAGTCCCTATTTGGCAGCCATCTGATACAGATTACTTCCGTGACTCACGATTGGGGAAATCCAGACTGATAGAATTTTAAACCTGATTTTCAAATACGGGCTCTAAAGCAAGCCGGACCATGAAAGACAAGACACTGCATGTCCCACTCAGTCGATACTGAACGTCTGCACTTTATGACAGAAACCAAAACATTGGAAAATATAATAAGGGTTAGCAAGTGTATATACCAGAACGTATAGGAGGAGGACAGCAGTGGGGAGTGAGAGGGGTTGCCCAGGGAGAAAATACTTAATGGGCACGAGAGTAGAAAGTCACCAGTTGAGGATGTATATTGTAATATATTTGAGTTGCTCTACATGTAATACATGTATACTCTGGAAAACCATAGTGTATGCTGTAAAGATGCACAATAATTAAATAGAAAGTGTCCTGCTATACTACGACAGCAAAAAAATAAAAAAATAAAATAAAATATGGGACTGTGGAATTCAGTGATTGGAAGAGTATCATAAAAGCAGTAAGTGGAGGTATGTTAGGCAAATGACAGGGCGATGATATTATTTTCTCTTGCTGTCTAAGAAGCCATGGCATGGTCTGGAAATTGCCCTAGCAGAGGCATTTGGATTAAGGAGCATAGGCTGTAGGCCCCGATTCCAAGTCCCCTAATACAAATGAAGATAACACATTTCAAAAATAGAGTGTGGTGGGCCCCATGGTACAGAGAACGTGTCTAACCCTGCATGTAGCAAATGAGACGATTTATGCGGGATGTTCAGTAAAACTTAAAGCTCCATACAAATGGCAACTGTTGTTATTACTATTACAGCAATTTCTTCCATTATCTCTTTTACTGACCACAATGTGCAGAGTAGGAGCTGACTGAACTATTGAATCTCCATCAGTTATAGGTCGAATTATCCAGTGAGAATTGAACATAGCAGGACTGGAAGAGACTTAGCCCAATTCCATTTTACAAATAAGGAAATAATATCATTGAGACAAAGTGGTTCATCCAAGCTGATGCATTTGGCTAGATGCAGAAAGAGGATCCATGTTCCCAAACCACTGTCCCCCTGACTCTCAAGCCGGTGACTTTGCTAGGTTAATCCCTGGAGTGATGAAAGCCCAGTCACAGGACAACTATAGAGAAAGGGCTTTGCTGGGTCAGAAGATGACTTGCACCATGATTCCTGCAGACTTGGGCTGGATGCCCAGGCTGTGGCTTCAGGCAGTGCTGAAAACTGAGCAGGAGAAACACTCCAGTTCCTGAGAGACTGTGTAGAAGGTGGACTGGTGAGGCCACAGATGCAGACCTAAGGGGTTGAGACTATTGTTCTCAGCTTAAGAAGGTTATTTTTAATCTATTCTTGTTTCTTCTCACTGAGAACCAAGGGTTTTCTTTTTGAAGTCCCCACTGATTTTGAGGATGTGTGGAGTGCAGAAGCTCAGAATCCATTCCGAGGAGACTCCTGCTGGACAGTGTAGCAGGGTCCATGAATTCTAAAGCTAGAATCTCATGCCATTGTTTCTACTGGTTATACCATTTTGAGGCAAGAGTGTGTATCCAAGGCATTAGCAGTGGACGCTCATCAGTACCTCTTTGGAGTCAAAGGCATTCAATATCGTCTCACACAAACAACTGTCTTGTGCTTGAAAACCTTCATCTTTCTGTCATAGCTCTTCAGTCTATGTATGAACCTCTTCAATGGGAAAACCAAACCTCCCCACCTCTGGAGGCAGTGCATTCATCTTATAGTACCACTCTGGTTATGTTTTCCCTAATAGGGAGTAGAAATCAGTCTGCCTTTCACTTCCACTCCTTGGTCCTAGCTCACCTTCAGAACATAGCGATTCCCTGGAATACATGGTCTTTAGGTATTTATAACTGAGAAACTCAGCCCCCAGGCCAGAGGTCTCATAGAGGCTCCACCCAATAAAAGAGCTGGAATATCTGGACAAGATGAACCAAAGGGCCTGCCATCAAGATATTAAAACACCAGTCTTTACTGATTAAAATCCTAGGCTTTCACTAAAACACACACTTGAAAATGTCTGAACAAAACAAAGAGGATCTTCTACAGAAATCACAAATGAATAATGCACAGTATGAACAGTACACCTGTCTCCAATAGACCTCCTTCTCTCTGTTCAGTATGAATCCAAGAAGCCTTCCATGCATTTTTGTAAGTGCCAATTCTTCTTGTACAGCTCTGCAGCAGACATTCTTTTCTGGCCACAGCCGGGTCGTATCGCATGTGGACTTCAACCCACACAAGAATGAACAAAACACCCATTCCAAGAAACTGGGCGTTTTTAAGAATTTGTCATCCACTTTGACAGGAGAGGGAAATACAGAGTGGGACATATCCAGAGTCCAAATTAGAAATCCCTCTGTGATTAGTTGTTGAACACCGAGTCTTTGGATTGTCCACCTCCACCAAGTGTTTCCACTCAGCCTCATCTCATGTCTCCTAAGAACTTGGTATTTTTCAAGTTTTTCTTTCTGAAGATATTTTTTTAAAGGTAACATGGAAAGAATATTGTGAAATCTGCACATTTATAAACACAAGTATATTTTTAACCTTTATAAATTATTTGAACTTTCTAGCCTTTGTTATCCAACATTTCAGTATAGCAAGTAAGATTTGTTTTACTAGACTTTATCTGCTCTAGGCCTTTTTTTCTTCTTTTTTTAAGTTCTTTAATGTAAAAAAACAAAGTATATATGAGTCACAGGGAGGGAGAGGAGGTGTGGAGAGTGGGGAGGTGAGGGACAGAGAGAGAGCAAAGCAAACAAGCCCTGGTCTCTCAGGTCCATTAGTGTCCAGATGAAGTGGCTTGGGTGTGGGGAAGTGGTAAGCCTTGTGGGGAGGACCTGGTCCACTGCAGTGTTGCCAGGCACTGCTGCTTCACTCGTCCCCTTGTTGAAGGAGCAGAAGGTGGATTTCTTGGAACGAGGGACGGTGCTTGGTGTCTCTTCTCCAACAACTGAGCATCAGCTTATACACTGAGTCAGGGCAAATGGCTGGTTGAGGAAGGTAAGTCTTTGGAAACAAAAATAAACGAACACACACACACATACACAAAGAAAGAGAATATTAAGAAAAGGGCAAAAAAGGGAGAGTCGTTGCAACAAGGTTAGACTTATCCCCTCCCCATTTTCTTGAACTTGATCACTGAAATGAGTGCAAGATCTCTAATTCCTATTCACATGTGTCACAAATCCTAACACCCCTTCCCCACTTCCTTTGTCTTCTGCAGTTCTCTGGAGCACAAATTCCTGGTGGGCTGGTCCTGTCTTCATGCAAAAGATGAAACTGGAGCAAAAAGAGATAAAAATCTTCTGATGATGGCCTACCCAGGTTGAGGTTTATGCTGGGTGAGCCAGCCATGGCAGAGGAAGAAAGTTTATTAGCCTCAACTCCTGGAATGGGATAAAATTTTAGTGAGATGCAGAAACAGAGCTGAAGAGTGTGGTCCCTGCAGCTCCTAACCATAATGCACTCCGTGCTCCCCTTTGTCTGAACTGGCCCCTTTTAGAGGAGACTAGATTTCTGCTTTGCGTGACATGCAGCGATATTTGTGCATTTTCCTGTCTATAGCCCTGCTCTGACTTCCAGCCTAGGATTCTGTGCCCACAAGCCAAATGTAAATCAATTGACTCCTAATTCACCCGTTATCTATAATCTATTTTTGTCACCTCTATACGTATGTTTTTTTGATCTGCTTTTCATCCAGCTTTTAAAAAAAATTCCTTATTTGCATTTATTCATGTACATTTTTTTAGTATACAATATGGATCTGGCAGCTTGTTTTCTCAATTTTCCTCTTTCTCTCTCTGTCTCTCTCTGGTGAGTGTGTGTGCCCTGTAACAAATTAAAATAATAATGATGATGAATAAAATTAAATCAGTAAATCTTCTAAAAAAATCTTTAGCCACTTCCTCTCCTCTGCCTTTTCCCAGATCAACACCAGCCTGTACCATGAGGAGCCGGACTTTAGACATAGTTTGATTGTCCTCTCTGCCTATCACCTTTAATTCACAAGTCAGAAGACAAATATCCAACTTCTCTTGGACTGTCTAAATAGATCTGATAAGGCTTAACACAGTATGTGACAAATGAATTTGACTGTAAGTTATCAAACATTTAAAAGGAAATGTTATCAATATAAATAAGGCTGTAGGGTGGCAGACACGCTAATATATTACTGGTGAAACTTAAATTAAGACCTTTATCACATGTTTACTACATAATTGTAGAAAAATATTATATCTGTTTTAAGTCAATACATGTTAACACAATTAAAATAATAATTTAAACTATTAGAGTTTTCCTTTTTAAAATCTTATAAATGATACAAGATTGAAATTATATTTCACAATAACTCATATTATATTTGTAGAATATTATTACCTTTCCTAACATTGAAGAATATAAGCTTTTCAGTGCCAGCAGTGGCATAATGGGTATGTCGCTGGACTCCCATGTAGTCGACTGTGGTTCAAGTCCTGGACCCAGTGGCTTAAACTCATGCTGGGCGTGTATGTGTGCATGCCTAAGATCCCAAGAGGAGAATGGACAAGGGATTGCGGTGTGGCCATCCCCTGGAGGATGATTTCTTGCTTTCTGTCTCTCTGTCTCTCTCTGTCTCTCTGGTGAGCTCACATGCCCTATAGCAAAAATCTCTAAAAGAAGAATATAAACTTTTCAATGTGTGTTTAATTTTTGGTTATTTAATTCCATTTAGACTATGAGCTTTCAAGAAAAGTACTAGTTGAGAATTCTTTACATCTTATGAGAATTAATTAAAAGCTAAAATGTCAAATTCCTTTTTTCTTAAGGTTTTTGCTGAAGGACATGTGCATTTACTAGGGAGAGAGAGAAAGAGAGACAGTGAGAGGGAAAGTGAGAAATCAGCGCCATCCTCTGGGGGTATGGTCATGTGGCAATACCTTCTCCTCTGTTCTCCTCCTGGGACTTTGGGCATGCATCCACATGTGCCTGGCATGATTTTCAAGCCACCAGGTGTGAGACTCGAACTGCAATAGGACATGTGGGAGTCCAGTACCTTAACCACCACACCACCTGCTGGCACCTCAAATATATATTTTTAATTATGGAAATTATTGCTAGAGACTTCTAAGCACTTTCGATTAAAGACAAAGCATTTAAAATGTGCCTAAACTATAAATTGTAAAGATGACATTTTTCTTTGAATTCATGTTACTACAATTTTTCTTCTGCATTTATCTGCTGTGCTCAACAAATGAGTAATGGTAGCTATGCCATTGGAAAATGAGTGAGACTGTACATGTGTAGTCTAGTGACCAGAGAATCCATCTAGTAGCTAACATTAATAAATTACCGTCCCTTGGGACCAGCAGGTGGTGTAGTGGCTAAGGTGCTGCACTCCCACACAGGTTTGAAAGTGGTTCTAGGTATGGATCTGGCGGCCTGAAAATTATTCCATGTTCATGTGAATGCCCAAAATCTAGAGAAAAAAAAATGGAGAAGAAGGGACTGTGGCATGGGCAAGCCCCTGTGGAGTGATTTCTCATTTTTCCCTCTCTCTGTCTCTCTTTGTCTCTCTCCATTGCGTGCACACACCCTATGGCAAAAACCCTCAAAAAAGAAAATAAATTTCTGTCCCTGTATTCTCATGTCATATTGTAAAATTTAAACAAGAAATTTAGTAGCAATTAAATGTGGTACAACGTAATAAGACACGACTTAACAAATTAAGTTTAAGGTAATATGTTAAATGTAGCTAATTTTTACCAAGAAGTTTACTCAGCATACAAGGATATTTTTATGGAGGGAACCACAAATGGTGTAACGGTTACATTGCTGGACTCCCATGTAGTCGACCATGGTTCGAGTCCTGGACCCAGCAGTTTAAAACTCACACCAGGCACGTGTGCATAAGTACCCAAAATCCCCAGAGGAGAATGGAGGAGAAGGGATTGTGACATGGCCATCCTCCGTAGAGGTAATTTCTCGCTTTCTGTCTCTCTGTCTCTGTCTCTCCAGTGAACGCACATATCTTATAGTAAAAATTTATCTAAAAAATTAAAAAATAAATAAAAATAAAAACTTCATGGAAATAAATATACATTATATAAAATTGTACATGGAGTTCAAAAAGTGTTTTGCACCAAAATACACTTGTACTTTAATTCCATTTTTTCCATGAACTTTTGCAGGACCCTTGTATAATGGTAATATATGGCTTTGGCTTTGGCCTTGGCTTCAGTCAAGTATCTAACTTCACTGCCTGACCATTATTTGGTAGTCAGTCAAAATATACATTTAGGGAGCCACTAGGACCTAGTGATGGTAACAAGGGTGGGCTCTCTTAAACTATTTAGAAATAAATAAGAAAAATGAAATTCTGGAGATTATTAGAAATTGAAACTGCCATCAAATGATAAAAAAGAGTGTTTTCTTAATGAAATTGAATAACCTAACACTGAAATAACTGGTGGGTGATTTTTTAGTGCTAGATAAAAGAACCCATCTATTATTGAGAATACTTTTAATGCAAAGTTGACCGTGGCTATGAAGAGCTGGGAGGGCAAACATTTGTTGAGTGTTGAGTGGTACTGTTATGGCTCCTGTTAAAAACAAATTCCGGGGGCGGGAACCAGCAGTTAGCGTAATGGCTATGTTGCTGGACTCCTACGTAGTCGACCACGGTTCGCATCCTGGACCCAGTGGCTTAAAACTCACTCCTGGCGCGTGTGCGTGCGTGCCCAAGATCCCGAGAGGAGAATGGAGGAGAAGGGATTGCAGCAGGGTGATTTCTCGCTTTCTGTCTCTCTGTCTCTGTCTGTCTGGTGAGCGCACGCACCCTATAGTGAAAAAAACCTCTCAAAAAAAAAAAAAAATTCCTGGGGCCAGTAGGTGGTGTGGTAGTTAAGGCACTGGACTCCCATATGGTGATCACAGTTCAAGTCCCAGACCTGGCAGCTTGAAAATCATGCTGGGCACATGAGCGTGTACCCTATGGCAAAAACCTAAGATGAAAAAAAAAAATTCCATAGGGCTGCATCAATGAACAAGTTTAGGGAAACTAAAGGTCTACAATACCCGTGCCCATGTCCATAATACTAGGACACACTCACGATTAGGATTGTTACTAGAATAAGTAAGATTACATTTTCTAATTGAACATACCACTTTCAGCAGGTCATGTGAATTCTAGTGTGTCACTATAGTAACCAGAATGTATTGGTCCAGGAGAAAAACAAAGAGTTTTTGTTGGTTCACTCATTTATCTTATGGACACAGGGGTAAATTTGTCATACAAATTTGTCATACTTTACACAATATGAAGTCAATTGATTCAAAACCAGGATGGCTTGCTTAGAACCCCTGTTACCAAAATATAAGGGATCTTCAAAAAGTTCATGAAAAATGTATAGTATGAAAAAAACTATGCATGGATTTTAAATATTTTTGAGCCAAAATAAATTTATACTTTTTTTTTTTTCAGGGAGATTTTTGTTACTGGGTGCATGCACTCACTGGAGAGATAGAGACAAAGAAATAGAAACCAAAATCAAGAAATCGCCCCCTGGGGGATGGCCACACTGCAATCGCTTCTCCTCCATTCTCCTCTTGGGATTTTGGCATGCACACACACATGCCTGGCGTGAATTTCAAGCTGCTGGATCTGGGACTTGAACAGCAGTTGGCCATATGGAAGTCCAGCACCTTAACCACTACACCACCTGCTGGTCCCATAAACTTATACTTTAATTCTATTTCCCATCAACTATTTGCATATTTATATAATATTACAAATAAAATTTAGTTCCAGAACCCTTTTGTATTTTCAATCTGCATAATGCATTATGTCTTGTCATTCTCTTATATTTTGCTTTTTGGGGATCTATGTAAGCCACGGAGGATCCACTTTTTATTTTCTGCAAAAGCCTTTCCCGGCTGGTATAATTTTCCTTCTGGAGACACCATAATCCACGGTGTGCTGTTGTCAGGCTACTGGGGGAGACGGTGCCATTGTTACCTGCTAGCTGTAAATCCCAGCTCTCCCAAGAATACTAAAAACTGAGCCACCCAAAAAGAGCTTGGAGTATCTTTACTAGGAATTGTGACTCCTCTTGTGCTTGGCCACCAACAGGATTTCCCTGAGTCCTGAGAGGCCACAACAACTGGGCCTCCCAAGAGCAGCAAGTCCAGAAAACACTTGCCCATTTCTGGATACGCAAGTCCAGGAACATTACTGGCCAGTCCGAACCAACACCATTTCTTTTCCTTTTTCTTTTTTTTTTTTTTTTTGAGAGATTTTTGCTATAGGGCGTGTGCACTCACCAGACAGACAGAGAGACAGAAAGCGAGAAATCACCCTCCAAGGGGGGATGGCCATGCCGCAATCCCTTCTTCTCCGTTGTCCTCTTGGGATCTTGGGCACGCACGCACATGCGCCCAGAGTGAGTTTTAAGCCACTGGGTCCGGGACGCAAACCTCGGTTGACTACATGGGAGTCCAGCGACATAGCCATTACGCTAACTGCTGGTCCCCCAACACCATTTCTTATACTAAGGTATACTTCTACTGAACGCTAATAAATCCCTTATTCTCTTTCACACTTGTGTTTTTCAACCAGGAAGACAGACCACATGGTCTAGATCAAGAAATGGATCAAACATGAGAGGTAAATTTGTTTTCTTTTTAAAGAATTATTTATTTAATTTTTATTGTTATTATTATTTTTTTAATTTGCTATAGGGCACATGAACGAGAGAGAGAGAGGGAGAGGGAAAGTGAGAAAGCAAGCTGCCAGGTCTGGGACTGGAACCGTGATTGGCCATTTGGGAATCCAGCACATTAACTACCATGCCACCTGCTTGCTCTAAGAGGTAAGACTTTAGTTTCTGCTGCTTTTGAGTTGGGAAGGAGCCTCATGTGACACCTGAAGCTCTTCAAGAACCAGTTGGATAGAGCAAAGTGTATGCATAGGTTCCCACCTATGGCATGGCCTCTTAGGTCATGTGGCAGTTAGTGACAAAATCTGTCATGCAAACAGCACAGATTCTAGCTTAGGTCTATTCTGTTAAACCAGGATTTTCCTTTTTCCCACCTTCGAAAGCACCCACGTCCTCATCCATCCATCCCACCAGTTCTTACCTGCCTCCCTTGGTCTCGGAAGAACTCGCCAGTATTCTCAATGACCTGTTCATCTGACAGCTGGGAATAGGGCTGCTCCTGGCAAAAGGTGAAAGTCTCCCACAGAGTCACCCCGAAGGCCCACACGTCACTTGCTGTCGTAAACTTGCCCTATTTCAGTAAGGAAAGAAAAGAAAAATCAGAGTAGATTAGATTTTCACAATCTGGAGTTAATCTGGAGTTAGCCTCATCCCCCAACAAGAGCAATGAACACCAAACTGTCCGGATATGTCTGGAGGATCTAGAAATGGACCACAGGAAGTTGTCAAGAAACAGGTCGTATTGTCATTCTTGGGATCCCAGCTTAGTTCTGTTTTTCTTGGAGATGAGATCCAAGAGCTAAAACAAATGCAGCCACAAACTATCTGGTTCTACAACTGAGAAAATCAGCCTTTTTTTTTTTTTTTTAAGTTTATTCATTTTATTGATGATAGAGAGCATGCGCACATGAGCAAGAGAGCAACAAACAGCCTTGATGGGTTTTGTCATGCTGTGATGCCTTTCACCAGGCTCTTAGGAGTATGCCTCACACGTTTCAGGCCAACAAGGCTGGCCACCCAAACCCACAGTAGCCTCGTGGCTTCCAGCAGCGCAGCTCAGTACACTACTGACTGCACACCCAGGCTGGGCCAGGTCAGCCTTTAGTCTCTAGGGCAGCCTTAGGAAAATGCCTCTGGGAAAGGTAAGATTAGAATGAGAAGTCAGCTGTTTTTAAGTTAGAGACTGAGGAATCTGGTTTAATTGCATAGCCTTAGGTCCCTAGGTGAATCCAGGACACTACCCAGTTCAAGGACAGTGACAGTCTTGAGAGTTGATCTTTAATGTGTGACAGCAGTGAGCTTCAGATGTAATTAGCATGCATTAAACACCCATTTTCTATTCACACTGTGAAGTAGATATTATTTACCCTTACTTATGGATCAGAAAATCGAGACAGGAGAGGTTTACTAAATTCCCCATTACTAACAAGACTATTAGTGATGGAAGCACTGGGATTAGAACCATGTCTGCTGAATCTCAGTATAATATATGATTTTCAACAACAGATCCTTTATAAAGAGCAATATTCGGTTACCACATTAGAAATGGGCAAATATATAGCAATTCCCATATGCAGATTAAAAGCTCATCAGAATTTATGTAAACCAGCGTCACACATCACAGCATCATTCCTAATTGGAGAAATTGCAAAGTACTTAAGAAACAAATTATAAAGACATCATTAAGTTATAGGCTACATTAAGCAATGTAACATTATGCAGCCATTAAAATTGTGATGGCAAAGAATATTAATGACATTAGTAATGCCAATGATAAGATGTTAAAAATGAAGCTAGAAAACATATGGAATAGTATTATCCCAATTATGTGATATATGTTTAAATTATATATATGTGTACATGTGTGTGTATATAAAAATAATGTATGTGGATATAAGAAATAATGCACAGAAAAATATGCATAAAAATACTCAAAGGAAATGTATCAAAATAAAAATAGTGGTTCTCTTGGTAACAGAAAGAAACACCTATACATTTTCTTTAATTTCAAAATTAATTCATGAAGGACCAGAGTTGGTGTAATGGCTATGTCACTGGACTCCTGTGTAGTCAACCGTGGTTCGAATCCCAGATCTGGTGACTTAAACTCACGCTGGCGCCTGTGCGTGCATGCCCAAGATCCCGAGGAAAGAATGGAGGAGAAGGGATTGCAGCTTGGCCATCCCCCCGGGCTGTGATTTCTCGCTTTCTGTCTCTGTCTCTCTCTGTCTTTCTAGTGAGCACACACACAAAACCTCTCCAAGAAGGAAAAAAAAAAAAAACTCTTAAATAAAAAATTAATTCATGAGTTCTATAGGGACATGTTCAGAGAGAGAAACCCTGAGGTGTGGGGACATGCTCTGAGCAAACACCACCTGTCCCTTCGGACTTTGGCAAAACCTTGCAACTTGTCCTTTCTTTAACCCTCACTGCAGGCAGAGCAAAGGGTGGAAATTACTAGGGGTGTTCCAACAGACACATCTGATGGAATTCAGGAAACATCTTGACCCCAATTAGCAAAATTCAATCCCTGCTCTGCCTCTGTCTGGGCGTGGTGGTGCCCAACTTATGAAGAGATTCTTTAGCCTCATGTAACTTTCCCACACCTGCAGCTGGGTTTCTCTCCATTAGAAAAATGATAATGGGATTTTCTCTTGATGGGATTATCACTAAGGGATACACCTGGTCCAGTAGGACTAAGCCCTTATAGATTTGTTACCTGCCTCTTATTGTCTGGAACACATCAACATATCTATGAAATGTCATGAAATACACATATGTAATGTCGCCCTGCCCTATAAATAAAGGTGCCTAGTTTGGGCGGCTCAAGCTGTGGCACAAGTTGCTTGGGCTACCTAGGCTCAGGCTGCCTGTGTCCACTGTTACTCTGTCTCTTTGTCTCATTCTTTCCAATTCCCTGGTCTTCTCAAGATGAAGGGCTTCCTTTTTCTCATCCTCTTTCTCTTCCTTTTTCTCTTCATAACCCATCAGCCCCCTGATGATGATTCAGCTAGACCCAAGCCCCAGGGCGGACACTAATAGAGTTCTATAAGTATATGAGCAAGATGATATTTACAGTGGCATGGCAGTAATGAAGCGCTCTGAGATGCTGAAGCCATAAGGGAAAAGCCTGGGTTTACGCCCCAGCTTCGGTACACACTGAGAGAGTGCACATATGCCCATGATCCTGGCTGGTGAGACTGGGGGTGGACTGAGGCATGAAGACCATACCCCAACTTCGGTACACACTGAGAGAGTGCACATATGTCCATGATCCTGGTTGGCTGAGGCTGGGGGTGGATTGAGGCATGAAGACCATATTGGGGGGTCTCTCTCTCTTTCTCACTCTTTGAAGAAATAAACTTAAAAAAAAAATAGTGTGAACAGAAAATAAGCCAATTAACTATAAATAAACAAAATCAAATTGATCTCTGTCTTTTCTCCGCAATATTACAGAAAACAAAGGACAAAACTATATGTGCGCAAAATTGTAAGAAGTAAAAGTTGATGGGGCCAGCAGGTGGCATAGTGGTGAAATCAGTGGGCTTTCACATGGCCAATCACAGTTTAAGTCCTGGACCTGCTGGCTTAAAAATCATGCTGGGCATGTGTGAACGCATACCCAAAATCTCAGGAGGAGAATGGAAGAGAAGAGATCTCAGCATAGCCATCCCCCTGGGGGATGATTTCTCATTTTCCCTCCTACTGTTCTCTCTGGCAAGTGCATGAGTCCTATGGAAAAATCTTTAAAAAAAGAGCTTAAAATTCTATAAGTCATTTAAATGTCAGTAGAATCAACAATAAAAAGTCTCAAATACACAAAATTGTCAGAAAATATATCTCTAAGATTAGAGAGTTATGGAAAAATTATACGCTCATAGTGCAGAATACTAAGAATTATATAAAAAGCATAAAGCGAAGAATAATAAATATAAATGATGTAAGAAAATGGTAAGTAAAAATTACTAAAATAAAAACACAGGCATCAGTCTAAATAATCAATGAAAACCATGGTTATAAAATTAATATACACAGAAAGTATTTTGTGTGTATAATACTTTAAAGGGCAAGATTTTTAATACCCTATATTAGATAAGATCAACCAGTAGGTAGAAAGGGGAGAGAGAGAGAGGAAAAAAAAAAAGATACTAAATTCCTTATACTTTTTAACTTTTTTTTCTAAATTTTCTAAAATAAACATGTTACTTTTTTCATTGGAACTAGGCTCATGTTAAATGATAATAATAATCAGGATACAAAGAAAATCATCCCAAGTCGAAGAAGATACCAAGGTCTGCTGTTTGCCTCCTGCTGTTTTAGGTTTGTCGCTACAGCCCATCTGGGCCCACCTCCCTGTCAGTTGCTAGGGTAGGTCTTTCCACATGCTGGGAACTTACTAGCAGAATGCTCTCCCAAGACATCCAGCGGATAGGGAGCACCGCTCGGCCTTGGATCCGATAGTAGTCACCACTGTACAGGTTTCTGCTCATTCCAAAGTCAGCTATCTTGATGGTGTAGTTCTTACCCACCAAGCAGTTTCGCGTGGCCAAGTCTCGGTGGACAAAATTAAGAGAGGAAAGGTACTTCATGCCAGAAGCAATCTGGGTCGCCATAAACTTCAGGTTGGCATAACTGAGGAAATATGCAAGGAGAAAGAAAGTAGCCTATGGAAACAGGAAGTCATGAAAGGTATGCATCCAGCAGTTGAATTCAACAAATCACGGTTTAATCCTGAACACCTCTTCTCTAGTCTTGACAGACTCCTATGCCTTCACCCAAAGGCCAATAGCTCCACTATTTCCTGCATAACCTTCCTTGGAATCCCAGAATAATAATGACTTCAAGGCCCCATCGCTCCCCATTTTCAGGTGTCGGGTGAGTCCAATGACCACAGGGAAGAAGTAGAAGAAGACCTGGCTTATTTACCTGACCGTGGGCACATCGCTGGAGGTAGCCGTTGGGGGCTCGTGGCGGGAGAGAAACTGATTAAGATCTCCATTCTCCATGTACTCGGTGATCATGCAGAGAGGGTCTTCGGTGATACACACAGCCAAGAGGCGGATGATGTTTGGGTCCTTGAGCCGGGACATGATCTTTATCTCTTTAAGAAAGTCATTCCTTTGGAGGACATAGACACAGACAAACCCGGAGATTCCCAGAGTCAGAATCAAGAGGGAGAAGGGCATCCAGCCCAGTTTACGGCTATCCATTATATGGAGTTTTGTTTCTTTTGTGAGCCCTTGAGAGGGCAGAGATTGGCACCTGGCATTGTCTCATTGCACTCCCCCTGGAGTACAATGAGTCCTCATTCAACTGGAATGTTCTTAAGAACAAGGTCCATGACTTACATTTGCATCCCTGGTTTCTAACCAAGTGGCTGCTGCATAGAAAGGGATTACTATTTGCTGAGTCAAATGTATGCTGCCACTGAAAACTACTCTGCAAAAGAAAACTTCTCACTGAAAGTTACATCCAGAGTGCATTAAGGCATTTGCCATTTCAAAAAGCCCTGAAGTCACTCTATCAATACAATGAAGATCTTTTTATAAAGTAAATAACCACCCTGTGGCTTATCTGATAATAAATCCTTTAATTTCTCATGCAGGTTGAGCATTCCTAACCTGAAAATCCAAAATGCACCAAAATCCAAAACCTTTTGAGCACCAACATAACATCCCAAGTGGAAAATTCCACACCTGAGCTCATGGGATGGGTCACAGTCAAAATACTGTTATACAAATACATTGTATAAAATTACCTTCAGGCTGTGTATAAAAGGTGTATATGGAACAAGTGAATTTTGGGTTAGATTTAGATTCTATCCCCAAGATATCTTATTATCCATATACAATATTCCAAAATTCAAAAAAATTCAAAATCCAAAGCATTTCTAATCCTGAGCATTTTTGGATAAGGGACACTCAGCCTGTACTAGCTTTTTTTTTTTTTTTTTTTTTTTTTTTTTTTCTGTTATGAAAAAAAACTTAAAGAATAAAAGACAGAGACAGAGAGACAGAAAGCAAGAAATCACCCCCCAGGGCGAATGGTCACGCTGCAATCCCTTCTCCTCCATTCTCCTCTCGGGATCTTGGGCACGCACGCACACGCGCCCAGCGTGAGTTTTAAGCCAC